GTGCCTTATTTTTTTGACCCCTGATCAAACTTGCTAGGAATTTTTGTTTGTTTTTGTTTTCCTAGCTTTTCAAAAATTGCCAGCTTTTGTTTCTTGTGATTCTCTAGTATTTCTTTGTTTCCTATTTCAATAAATTCTATTCTTGTCTTTATTATTTCCTTCTTGTACTTCCCTTGGCTATATTCTTTTGTGCCTTTTTTCACTTCCTCTGTTGAAAGCGTTAATTTTCAGTCATTTGTCTTTTTTAACATACGCATTTAACAGTGTAGAGAGCTTTCTGAGTACGGCTTTAGCTGAATCTCCTAGGTGTTAGTACATAAAATTTCCACGTTATTCAGTTTGAAAATGTTTTCCAATTTCTATTTTTATTTACTCCTTGATCTACAAACTCCTTACAATTACATTTTTTAATTTCAAAACCTGGGTACTTTGGGAAGTTATCTCTTTGTTAATATGTTCGATTTTTAATGACTTGGGAATAGACAATGTGGTGACTATTATGTTGATGTTTTGGTAGTGTTGACATTTGCTTTGTGACTTAGCATAAGGTCAGACTTTATAAATATTTTATGTATTTGGAAAGTTGTGCTTAAGATTCATATGTACATTTCCATTAGTCCAAGCTTCATTATTATTTTGTTTAAATCCTTAATATTCTTACTACTTTGTGTTTGCTTTATCTATAAATTGTTGAGAGAGGGATGTTAAAATCACCCACTATGATTATGGATTTGTAGATTTCTTATAATTTTGTCAATATTTTTAACATATATTTTGGCCATGTTATTAAGTAACTATATGCTCAGGATTGTCATATCTTTAGATAAATTGTCTCTTTGTCATTATCTAATATTTTTGTCTTAAAATCACATGTATATGATATTAATGTAGCTGCGCCAGCTTTCTTCTGGTTAGCACACATTCATTGTGTCTTTCCCAATCCCTTTTCTCTGAATTGTTCTATGTCCTTATGTTTAAGTATTTCTTTTGACAAAAGTGTGTATTTTGAAGCAATTTATAAATATTATCTACTGATAGGATAATCACTAAAAGAAAGACAAAAGAAGATATAACTAAAAACCTAACAGAGGAGAAAAATGGAATAATAACAATACTTAATCCAAAGAATGAAAAGAATTGAAGCATAAAGGAGAAAGAACAAGCAGGACAAATAGAGAACAAACAGAGTGATAAGAGATTTGAACCCAACCGTATCGATAATTTTAATAAATCGAAATATAATTCACATTCCAAATAAAAGACGAAGATTGTGAGTGGATTTGCAAAAAATCAAACCCAACTATCTTCTCTGGCTTCTTCCTCTTTACCAAGTGAGATCACCAGAGAGCTCAGGTTGCACTGTCTTACTTTAGTCCATAAAACGCTTCGTCTGAGCTGTCAGATTGTGTTGCCTGCTTGTAGTGTTGGTTGATAGAAGCAATGGCCATATAAGGAGTATTTCTGCATTATCTGAAGCCCCTGATTAAAGACCTGGCGTACCACGTGGTCCACTGGCTCATGTAAGGGTTCAGGCAGTAAAACCCTCCTAGCGTTCGTGCTAGGAAGACATCTGGTCTCCTGGCAGACCGACAGCTTTCTCTTACTAGAGTTACATAAGAGGACGTTTGTCTTTGCTGTGTTGTAAGCAATAAGCTTGGGGGTAAATCTTGTGATTATTTTCAGTGATTATCCTTAGTCTCAGTTTATGACAAACTATTTCTTCCTCCCATTTACCACCACAAGTTGATTGAACACTAAGCCTATTTGGACAGTAAAAGAAACCAAAGATACAAAGATTTTAAAAAATGGTAAAGACAGACCGATAAACAAATAGTTCCATGATAACATGGTAGGTGCTGTGACAGAGATATGTACAAAGGCTATGGGGACACAGGCAGGAAGGATTGCTTTTACCTGGAGCGAGGAGCTAAGAAGGCTTCCCAGAGGAGGTGACATCTGAAGTAGAGTTTTAAGCACAAATAAGATTTTATAAGAAGGAGAAAAACATAGACCAGAGCAGTGGTGTCCAAAAGAAATATAATACGAGCCACACGGACATTTTAGATTTTCTGGTAGCCACATTAAAAAAGTAAAAAACCCAGATAAATTAATTTTAATAATACATTTTATTTAATCCACTATATTCTCATTTCCACTATATCATCAACCTGTAATAATTATTAATAAAACATCATTAATGAGATATTTGACATTAACTTTCTCTTTTTGGGTACAAAGTATTTGAACTTTAATGTGAATTTTACATTCACAGTACATCTAAATTTGGACTAGCCATGTTTCAAGTGCTCAATAGCCACATGTGGCTAGGACTGGACTAGTACTGGACAGTGCAGGACTAGAGCATTTTCATGGACAGAAACGAAGCAAGCTGTCTGGGAAATTCCATCGTGCTTAGAGCATGGGACGTGTGTGTGTATTTGGGGAGGGTGGTAAATGGAAGTAAAAGGGACCAGGAAGGTAGATTGGGGCAAGAATATGAAGGATGTTTGACTTTGTTACATTGGAACTGTTGAAAGTTTTCAGCAGAGGAATGACATTTTCACATCTCTATTTTAAAACTCTAATTCTGGAAGCAGTGTGAAAAATAGATTTAAGGGGGCTTGGAGATTACAGGCCGATTAAGGGACATAAACAGCTCACTCAAGAGTTGACGAGAACTTGGGTCTGTAGTTCTGAGGTGGATGGGGAAAGAATTTGATGGATGTTTCTCCTTAGTATTAGCAGGACTTGGCAACCAGTGGATGCAGGCAGTGCGGAAGAGTAAGTGAAAATGAGCATGTGTAGCAGCGTGAATACCGTCAAGTGAGAGGGCCTGAGAGAATAAAAATGAATTCCGAAAGGGCAATAATTAGTTTGAGCTGTCTCGTGCATATTCAGTTGAGGTTTGCAATGGGCAGTTGAAAATACTGAGCAGCGCCATTTCAAAGATGGAAACCTGCAGCAAAATATGGAGAATCTCTGCCAAATGACATCCAAATTGAGTGCCATTTTAACCATAATTTCAATTTTTTGTAAACTGACCAGGTTATTTTAATTATTTCATTTGAATTACCGTGTTAGAATTTTCAAGAAAATATTGAAAGAGTAGAAGAATATTGAGGAATAAGAATAAAAGAATATCTCAACCGGATAGTAAATTGAGTATGTATTAAAATATATTCGAACAGCCATAATCAATCTGTAAAATAAATAAATAGGCACAAGAAAAGACAGCATCTGAAAGCAGAATGTACCCTCAAAAGAGACTGGAAACAGAATTTAGAGAGTGTCTGTTTATAGAGATGTAGTCACGGTTAAGGGAACCTACAGAGAGTTCAAGGCACTTTGGTGACAAAGCAAGGAAGAAATATTGGGGAAGAAACATTCTCTCTGACCTCTCTCCTTCTGACCTCCGGTCTCCTGCCTCTGCCTCCCATTGGCCAAAGCCCATTTAAAATCAGGAAGCAAGGGGCCTGGGTGACGCAGATCCTAGGGGTCAGCTCCCTGGGATGCATGGCTGGGCACGGAATGAATCTGAGGCAATCAAGGAAGCTTATCCAGCACACATGGAAGATTAATATATGGTAGTTGGCATTTCAGCTCATTGGGGGAAAAAAGACTTTAAAAAAATGGTACTAGCTATCCACTTGGAAGAAAATAGTTGAATCACATAATTTAGAAAAATATATTCTAGATGGATTAAAGATCTAAATGTTAACATTTTCATAACTTCTGGTTGAGGGGAGACTTTCTTAAGCAAAAGGGGCAACTGTAAAGAAAAAGATGGAATTATTTACATACACATACACATGCACATATATATAAATCCATCCATCCATATGTATGTATGGATTGTACACATGTAAATGTATATATGTATGTATGTATTGTATATATGTACGTATGTATTGTATATATGTATATGTAAACAATAAACATGTTTAATGTAAATATATAAATATGCAAACATATTTATTAATGTAAATATAAATAAAAACATATATATAACTTTTATATGTATATACACAAAATTCTGAATAGCAAAAGTCATTACAGGCAATATAAAAAGAAAAATAATAGAGTAGGAAAAACATTTGAATATATTTGATAGACAAGGCGTTAATATATCCTGTATTCAAAAAGCTACTAAAAATTAATAAGGAAGTTAACCTAATTTTTTTAAATGGGTGAAGGATATGCATAGGTGTTCGCAGAAGAGGGAACGCAATGACCATGAAAAAGTCGTCTCCACCACTGACCCAGAGCATTTCTCTTTTCTCTGCACACCCCTTAAGGACTGGCAAATAGAACCATCTGTTCCAGACCGCCGCGTGAACTCTTCTCGAAGACGGCCATGTACCTGGGCCCTTAACGAGAGTGCACCCCTAACTTTTCCTCGTTAAATGCAAGTTATGTTTTAAAGATCTTTTCATACGTTTACCTCCAATTTCAAAACTTTCCCATTGTTGCACGTCCTGCTGGCCGCCCTTTTTCAATCCAGCGCTGCAGCTTCTGCCGCCTGGAGCCCTGAAGGGTGGCGCCTGGAGGGCGGGCCTTGCTCATCAGGGGCTTCGTGAACAGGTGTCTTCTGTGCCTTGCTGTCCCTTCAGGCTCGTGCTCTGGACTAGGGCCGACCACGGAAGGCCCTGCGGCTGCGGAGGAGGCGGCGACTTTAAGGAGAAAGGGAGGATGCTGTAACGTTCTTGGGAGGGAGAAAGCGGTGCCTGGGGCTTCTGAGAGCGGATGTAGGAGGTAACGGTGAGACCCGACAGGGCTGCGCAGAAGAGAGAGAGGCCGGGGAGCTGAAGGGTTTCAGAAAAGAGTCACAGGATAGATTTTTCTTTCAACAAGTGATAGTGTTGAGTAAGTTATTAAGGACTCTAAAGATTCATTCTAAGACATGAATAAACATTTGCATTTTAGACTGATTTTTTTTTTTCTTATTGAAAGTTTTTCTATGTATATCATCCCATTTGGGGAGAGAGAGAAAAAATTTTTTTTCCTATAGGAAAATAGCCAAACTCTTCTTAACTCGGCATGCAAGACACTTCACAATATGCTGACTTCACTGAAGGCTGGCAATTATCAAGCATAGCAGATATTAAAAATGAAAATATATATTAATTCTTTCCTCAAAAAGTTCTTTGTCAAAGAAGATAGAATTAAAGTGAACAAATTTGATATGCGTGGTGAGGATAACAGTAGAGGCCGTAGAAACAGCTCCAGAGAGAGGTGGTTCATTCCACCTGTGGGGTCAGGACAGGTTCCTCAAGGTCGTGATATCTAAGAGAGCTTTTAATAGAGGACCAGGAGGCAGATGGGGGAAGAGGCTGGGAGAGCATTCCAGACTTATGCTGAGGCAGCGCAGTGAGAAACAGCTGGATGGCTATGGGCAGCAACACAACTGGGCGTCCTTCTTGGAGGTTAAAGCGGAGGGAGGAGCAGAGGAGATGAGATTGGAAGATGGACAGGGGTTAGGTTACGGCTCTTGTGGGACATGCTTGGGGACTCAGGCTTCATACACAGGGGATGGGGTCTGTGGAGGGTTTTGGCAGAGAGGAGACTTGATCCTATCGTGTTTCAGCAGGATCACTTCAGCAGCGGTGTGAAGGAGGGACCGGAGTTGGCGTGCCCTACAAATACGCGGCCTGCTTGGCCCCGAGGAGGTTTGAGGTAGGCTTACATGAGGCAGTGACAGAGGGAGTGGAAAGGATAAAACAAATTTCAGAGGTTTCTTTTCCAGAATCTTCAGAGCTTGGTGACTGTTGAGATGGGGAGGGTAGAAAAAGAGAGTCTCTGGAGTTCCTGTGCCACCTGCTGCCATTTCCATGCTTAGCCTCTGCTCAAAGCGTGTCAGCCCCTTGCGGGCACTGACGCATCCCTTTCCCCCTCAGGCCTCCAGCACAGGTATCGCTTCATTTATCCACAAGACTCTTGCCCTCCTCTCCTGGTGAACCCCTGACTGTCCTTCAAGATGCTGCCCAAATGTCGCCTCTTCTTTGAATTCGTCAATGCTTCATGCTGTATATACCTCGATTCATATTAGCCACACATTATTATAATTATTTTTGTAGCAAGGTCTTCAACCTGAGAGACTTGGCTGTTTGTACTTTGGGAGTCACACATGTTGATAATCCTAAGCGGCAGGCGGATCTTCCAGGAATGTGTTTGAGCGAGGACCATTCTGGGAGAAAACTCAACCTGAGGGAAGAAAAGCCAAGAATAACACGTTGTCCTGTCACAAAGCCTCGGTTGTTAGAAAGCAGAGCGCTATGAGGACCACATTATGTCTGCGTGCTGGTTACCAGGCTCTTACCCCTCACCCCCAAACCTACATGTTCATGCTCTGTGATGCTGGGGCTGGGCTTCTGCTCTGCCCTTAGAAAGCTCTAGAGGGAGATGCAGAATGCAGGAGAGAAGAGGGGCTTGCTCCTTCCTGTTTGCTCTCCATTCCGTGTCTAAGTAACAGCACTTCACTGGGGTGCAGCAGTTGGTTACCAATCCCCCTCAGAGGTGCCAGTGGCAGCTGGGGGCACCACTCCTCAAAGATCAAATCCCAGCTTTGGGCGTCTCCGCCTCCAAGCTCCTAGGCTGTAAAACTCCCACCCTTCCCCCTTTCTTCCCAGGCTCTGGACAAAGGCTGCGTCCTGCAGCTGCTGTCTCTGTATTGCCTGGTGTTCCTTTTGCTTCTTTGGTCCTTCAGTACGTGTTTAGCCAATTCCCCATTCTAAACTTCCTCTTTTAAAATCAGTAATGTGGCTGCTCTTTTCCTGACTGGACCCTGACTGATAAACGCTTCTACTCGGTTCTCTATGGACATATATCTGAATCCTATGGGTTGTAAGTAAAGAATTGAAAGATAATTTTCTGTAAAAACAGTCCTATTTTGTATCTGTCCTAAACAGCATGGCACAAATATTAACACATTCTCTCCCTCTGACCACAGGGTCTTTCTAAGGTCATCCTGCGGAAGACTCAGTGAAATCACGGGGTTTTTAGAGCTCGATGCAGCGGTGACCAGCTGAGAGGGGCAGGGATGGAGGCCAGGGAAATTTGGCTGATGGCCAGGCAGGTAAAGAAATGAGTAAAGTAGCTTCAGTCAGTGAAACAAGAGAGGTGGGTCACTGGTAACCTGGAGACCAAGTACCTTGTCAATAAGGGACAGCTACTATTGGGTTCCAGCCTGTTACTGCCATGTGGGAATGCAGGGTCAGTATCTACTACATTTTCAAGGAAGCTCAAAATCGATCTTTTTTAGGTAAAATTCGTTCAAAACTAATACAAGTTAATAAAAAAGATAACTATTCAGGTCATTACCATGCAAGTCAAACCATATCTTTTTTCATTATAGACCATTGGTCACTATTTCTCAAATCGGCAGAAACTGATAAGATGTATTCATGAGATTGTGGAAGTCTTATGAATACTCGACGATCGTGGGAGATGTCTTTGCAGGGCACTTAGTTCCTATAATTATAGATGTGGGTAAGAACCAGTGACACAAAGTTTATATTTATTCACAAGTCTTGTTCCTTATTAGATGATGAGCTCCTGGGAGGGCAAGGTTCTGTCTCATTCATTCATGTGTCTCTAGCCCCTGGCATAATTCCTGATATATAGTAGGCAGTCGATAAGTTTTAATGAATGGCTGAGTGAATGAGTTATTAAGAAAGATAGTGTAATGTGTAAAACATAGCCTGGAAATTAGACTCGGGTTCTGCTCCTGGATTTACCATTAGCTGTGTGACTTTGGGAAACCGCTTAACTTATCTGAAATAAATTTTCTCATCAGTAAAGTGGAGATACTAATACCACCTTCCAAGGTTTTCTATTTTATTATTTATTCTAAGTTTATTAAGGTAATAAAAGTGAAAGTGCCTTGTGGAGGGATTAACTAGGAATGGGGGTTGAGGAAGTGTTCAAACGTTTTGTTTCCCCAGCAGCTTACTCTGTATCTGTAGCATAATTAGGACTAAAACTTTGATACAGTGTCCTAGCCCAGTGAGAGCTCACCTGCATGTGCCGATAGTCAATAATGTGTTGAAGAATTCCATCGTTTTGTTATTAACGTTGAATTGATTTCCCCCAGAATGACTCTGCTACATTGAACGTTCACCCACCATTCAATGAGGAAAACCTTCCACCTTACCCACATTTGTGCAGCTCAAATCTTTAAAGTATTTTTAAAGGAATGTATCTTTGATTAATTTTCCTTTTCTGGAGTATCCAAGGTTATGATTTGAGAAAATAGCCCTTTTATTAAATGTGCTTTTTGGATTTCTTCCCAGAAGTCACTTACTTTGTCTATTCTCGTATTATTTGAAGTAATGAAACCAGTGCTTTCATGTAGCGCCAGTACTTACTGAGCTTGAGGTGTTTATGTGATGAAATGGGCTCTGGACGCCCCCGGACAGAAAGCTCCTTTCTCCTCATTTCTTCGCTGTTAACCTTCTGTTGCCTCTGCCCACGGCCTCCGTAGCATCTCCCTTCAGTATCATAACCCTGAAGCCTCTCTCTCTTTTATTTCTCCCTGGTGCCTCAACTAGGCTGTCACTCTTCAGCCAAATGTGAGTTTGGTCAGATGAGAAGGGAGCAAAGGCTAATTTACTGCATTGTGTACAGATCCTGGAAAACAAACTTCATAGCACTAGACTGTTATAAATACATATGTTTGTTACCCAATTAACTCACTCTGACCTAACTTGGTATAATCATTAAGCTTTTAAGCTTTCTGAAGATACCTTTTATTTTACTTCCTACGCTACAGATTTTGAACTCATCAAGCCTCTACAATTGTGGGAGTCAATTCCTTAAAATAAATATCTCTATCTCTATATCTCTAGATCTAGATATGTAGATATAGATATATAGATATATCCATACATAAAGATAGATAGTTAGGTAGAGAGCCAACAGGACACATCCTGTTGGTTCTATAAAACTATCTATATGTACATCTCTATACACACATCCCATTGGTTTTATGTCTCTGCAGAACCCTACTAATATAAAACCATAAAATAAAAATGTATAAATTAAATTACATCAAAATTAAAAAACTTCTGCCCTTCAAAAGATAAAGAAGAAAATGAAAGGCATGCCACAGACTGGCGGAAATTATTTGCCACATATGTGTGTGTACAAATATATATATATACATGAAAAAGGACTTGTATTCAGAATATATGAGGAAACTTACAACTAAATAATAAGAAAGCAATAATAAATTATCAAGATCTGAACAGGTACTTCACAAAAGAAGATATGTGAATAGCCAATAAGCACATAAAAAGATACTAAACATTGTTAGTGTCAAAAAATAAACAAAGCTGCACATTAGTTAAAGTGGTGAGGACAGATTTATTCAGTGACACTGTTACAACGGGGAAAAGAGTCGAGAGTGAGCGGAAGTCGGCGTTGACTGGCGCAGAGGTGCCTGGCGTTTTAGAGGAGGATGAGGGGGTAGGGAGGGAGAGCAGTGGGGCTCGAGTAGAGGCACGGAAGTGGAAATTTACAAAAGGCAGGAAGGGTGGGTTAATTAATGCCACCAGGCCATCTGGTTTGTTCATCAGCACTTATCCCAAGGAGAGACAAACTTCTTGAATCTTTATGACAAGAGGCAGTGACGTAACTTAGAGCAAGGAGCCCAAAGACGTTGGCCCTTATCCCTCAGGGACTGGGAGCAAGAGAAGAAGTTACCTCCCTGAACGTGTGTGTTTGAGGAGACGGCTCTCAGGGTCTCGAGAAAAGCGTTTTGGGTGGTAGATTTATAGCTCCAAGGGCAGAGAAAAGGCTGATAATTGCAAGGTTTCCAAAGTAACTGCTCTCAGAAGAGATTCAGGGGCTTGTGTGCCTATGAGCGTTTTCAGGGGGCCTGGGTCGTCACAGGGATGAGGCCTGGAGCTGTTGGGAACTGTGCTAGTGTTTGCTCAAGTCTCTTGTGTGGGGTGGACAAGACCATCAGTGCTGGGAGTCTGCAGTTTTCACAGGCCAACATTGAGGCCTGGTAGAGAAAAGGCTCAGAGAAGCCTGACTAGAGTTCAGTTGAGGAGAGCGTCTTTGTCATTAGTCATTAGGAAAAGGCAAATTAGCGCCACAATGAGGTAAGTCTACACATCTAACTGTTTAAGAAAATGACAATAGCAAATGTTACAAATGTGGGGCAAGGATTGCTGTAAGGACTGTCAATTGGAACAAATACTTTGGAAAACAGTTTGGCAGTTTCTTATTAAGTTAAACATATAGTTACCATATTACTGAGAAATTTTGCTTCTATATATTTACCCCAGACATGTGTCCATCAAGAAATGAATGAGGGCCAGCCCGGGTGGCCTAGCAGCTAAGTTTGGTGCACTCCACTTCGGCAGCCTGGGGTTCAGTTCCTGGGCACAGACCTACAACACTTGTCTATCAGTGGCCATGCTGTGGTGGCAGCTCATACAAAAAGAAAAAGATTGGCCACAGATACTAGCTCAGGGAGAATCTTCCTCAGCAAAAAGAAAAGAAAAAGAAAAAGGAAAAAGAAAAAGCGAATGGGTAAATAAACTCTGTTATATCCATACAGTGGAATCCAACTCAGCAATAAACTGGAACAAATTACAAATACGTACCACAAATAGGTGAATCTCAAAGTTACGCTGAGTGAAGGAAGCTGGATGAAAAAGTTTATGCATCATGATTTTATTTGTATAAAATTCTGTAAAACTCAAACTGACCTGTGATAACAGAAGGCAGATCAGTAGGTGTCTGGGGAAAGGGATGAAGGGAGGGATGGATTTCAAAGAAGCAGGAAGGAACTTTTGGAGGTACCAGACGTGTTTGATATGTTGATTGGGATGATACTTTCATTGGAAAACTCATAAAGCATATACTTTAAATGTGTGCAGTTTATTGCATGTAAAGTATACCCCAGTATAAAAGCAAAACTTACATAAAATTTAAAAATAGTAGTAAAAATTAAGATTTCAAATACTCATTAACACAAACATTTACTTAGCACCTTTATTTAGATTGAAGAAACAGGAAACAACTCTGCTTGTAATTGTGATATTTAGATCCCAGCTCACAAACTTTTCCTATAAAGAGCCAGGTAGTATATATTTTAGGTAGGCCACATGCAGTTTCTGTTGCCTCCTTTTCTTTTCTTTCTTTCTATTTTTCTTTCTTAAACTTTAAAAATGTGAAGACCATTCATAGCTTCTGGGCCACACAAAACAGGCTGCAGACCAGATTTATTTCAGTCCAGGAGAGCCCACGCACCTTCATTTATTCATAATCCAGTTTATTTTAATATTGATTTTTCAAAATGGACTGGCCTTCACGACCTCGTTTGATGAGTGACAATACATTCACATGCTGTTAGAGCCGATGCCTCTCGTTTTACCCCTGGGTGGAAGCTGACCACTCGGGGAGCTTAAGTGCATTTCCACGCGGTCAATCAGTGTCACGGCGCTTTAACCGGCACATTCCACTTTAAGGAAAATACAATAATTTGGGAAGGAAATTAAGGAAGTACAATCACAACTAATGTTAGATGGTCACATTTATCGTGTTTTCAATCTTCCTAAAAATCCTGTACGTTTTGTTGGGCAGAAAATAATCAACATTTATAGAGACTTCATAATTGACAAAACAAGGTCACTTACCTACTTTTATCTTCACAGTGGACTCTTGCCTTGATACGCTTAAAACCTAAGTGTCACCTCAACCGTATTGTTCGTACCTTTAAATAATCTAAGCTTCCGTTCTCTATGAAATGCATTTTTAATCATTGAATGAATTTGTAGACAAGCAAAACGTATAGATGCTTTTCATGCTCAGTCCCAGTGCTATTGAACTGTGGGGCGAGTGTCTACAGCACTGCTCTGCATTTTCTGTGTCACCATGACAATCGTTTCAATATGAAATTCCATAGTACGTGACTAGCATGTGCAGTGTACTTTGTTAACATGGCATAAAACTTTGTGTTCATGTTTATCTTTTTTTGATAAAACAATCATGCAAAATATCTTTAATTATCCCTATAAAAATTAGACACCATCTTTAATATTTTCTAAAACAATTCTTTAAAATTAGTAAGCACTGGAATCAGACTTCATTTTCTTAACTAGAAAATTAGAAAAAAAAATATTTCGGTAAAGGGCTATTTTTCATCTGGAAAATTTTATTCATAGATAATAAAGAGAATGTTTAGGAAGTTACACAAGAAACTACATACCTTCAATAAAATAAATTATTAGATGTTCTCACACAAAAACCCCGTGTAATTTTTAAAAGATTTCTTGTTGATCATCTCCCTTAGATTAAAATGTGAAAAACAAAATCTGGTGTTGGAAGAGTGATGAGTTACATTATTTTCTTTCCTGCTTTCTTGCTGTAATTTACTTGGGCATATACATAACCTTGGGATAATTTATCTAGTTTATACGGAATAGTAATTTCCCATGTAATTTTACCCAATTTCTGCAGAAACTCGTTTTGGGTTAACTGCAGTGGTTAATAAATCATTAGAGAGAATTCACTTTGTGATAGGTGTAATTAATAATCAAGACTTCCAGACTCATTCTTCAATGCTTTTTATATTAATGAAATTCATCACATTTCTAAAGGCGGCAATAGGCCGTATGTATTTTTGCAGGAAATAGAAATGTATTGAGAACAAATATCTTGGAAGCATAATGATGTCTTTTCAAAAGGTTTTACAGTTCTCTCTGACTCGCAGGGTAATTTGCTGTAGAAATTGAGTTAAACTGCTGTAGGTTTCTTTGAGGTGATTTAATTCTGAAAAGAACGAAATGGGAAAAATGGCAAATACTGGAAAAATTTGAAAGTTTCTAAGCTTCAATCGTATTGGGAAAGGACAAAAGGGAAAATGTACTGCAGCGTGTCGTTGGGGCATGCTGTGAGGAATCTGTGGATTTGTCATCCTTCCTTTCAAAACATATATTTGAGGGTCTTCTAGGAGAACCGAGCCTTCAAAATGCGTTTGCAGATGCCCCCTCCTGTATGGAAAATTGGTGGAGAGCAGGCAGGGTGCCCCTCTCTTGATAAAGGTTGATCCACATCTCTCAGACCTTCGTTAGTCCTGGGAAAATTTATAATGAAGACATTCTGGTGATAATTCTGATATCTCTTGTGTGTTGGGCTGCTAGTAAAATCACAGTTATAAATGTACAAACCACATTGTATAAATGTACACGTGTATAAACGTGTGATCCTGGCCTATGAAACACCACCTTGGAGGCCCTTTATCATCCTCATGCTCCGGCCAGTCTGAG